GAAACAGGCGGTGGTGGTGATGGAAATCGAACACATACACGCACACACACATACCTCCGGGGTGATACTTGATGACGTTACTATCGGGCCACCAGTATACGGGATCTGAAATGGCTCAAAAATGTTTTCTTGCAATCTATATGGCTATTTGGTGTTTTATGGAGCATTAACAGTGGTACTCGTGCACTCACTCAGTATATCTTCACAAATTTATATAGTTTAACCGCAATCGGGATCTGCACTGTCTTACTAAGATCAGCTTTCTAATTCCTCCCTCGACAGGATACCAAGCCTCATGCGAAAGTGTAAAGTTATTAGTTGGATGAACTGAGATAGGAGATTAGTTTCAGGCTGATAGGATTTAGCGGAGAGTACCAATTTAAAGTATTATATGCATCGATCAAAGAAGAATCACACCGATTCTAATGGAGCCGCATAATAGACTGTTCGAATGTCAATGACTGTTTGGGTATATTGCAGTGAAACTAAATGTCAGTAAACATTTCGTCTAATACAGGACAGTTTACATCAAGTCGTTTTCAGAACTTTGAAGCATTTAGTGTCCTTTATCCAAATGTGGTCAGATGTCAACATTTTGACAAAGCATTTTGACAAACACTGATGATGTCACTTCGGCTATTGATGAAACGTTTGCAAACAAATTGCCAGGCTCCGCGAACAGGCGAAATCGAATGTCAACATTTTGTTTAATCTTCTCAGTCGTTGAATTAAAACAAACAGGCAGATATATATGTGGCACATAGGATTGTTCGATTAGCCTTGGAATGAATTCACACGAATACATACCGTTGGTTCCACGGATCGGCAGTTGGCATCCGGGGATTTGGAGGAAGAAGGATGAAAACTCCGCCGTAGCGCGAAACCTTCATCGTCATCATCAGTCATCGCGCACAGGACCAGTCGAACTTTCTCTGATTCCCACGCTCGCTTCAGATTTTCCAACTCCTGCTGGTGCACTCGAGCATGACGAGCCAGTTCCCGTATTGCCATAATCGGACTGACATGTTTTTCCAGATCGCTTTGCAGCACAGTAGCCAGAGTACAATCTGCCCAACATTGACTCCATGACAAACCTAATTCTGTTTGAATCTGTCTCCAATAGTCTGAGTGGTTTTCCTTAATAAGGGATAAAATGACGGGAACAGGCAAAAGATTGTAGGGCTCGGAAAACGGGGGTGGTTGAGATAAAACAGCTATACATCGGTCACATGACCATACCGGTAAAACGCTAATCTGTATTTTTAACATAACCCTTGACACTGAATTCTCAATAACAAAGAACCCCATGAAACGTGCAGTTAAGGCTAGACCCATGCCGGTTCATGAGTTTGAAGTTTCTTACAGTTCGGTTGTTAGGGAAACGCCTATTACCCTTAAGACTAACATCTGTTCCGTAGTTAGTAATTTATTGTGATGCGGGTGGGACTGCTTAGTTAATCAGTCCTAATCACCGAAGTCCACGGTGTTGGTAATCCGAAAACCATCAATCCATATAGATCGTGGGAATCCGGCCTACGCAACAAATTCGATAGGGTCCCCGTGTGTTTTATCCTAACGGTTCCTTGTGCTCACCCACACACTTCCTGCTGTTCATCGCGTGTTGGTTCGAAACCGCCTGGTGTTCTGATAAAACTTCGACTTGTGAACAGTATTGTTTTGGCTATCCGGGTCCGATACAATTCAATCTTATCTCATATAGTGGGAAAATGGCCGTTGGCTCAACTTAAGGTCATTAATCGGAGGTAGGGGGGTAGAGAATGTGTGTGTGCGTGTGTCTATGTTTGCACGGATGTGGTTCAAGCGCTCCGAATGCCTTGGCCGAGTGTGAAAACCAAGACAGGACATGACGTGTCACTTGACCCAGGTGGAGAAAGGGCACATCAACTAACATGCTAAACATTACATTCGAGATTTTTATTTACAGGAGTAGCGCATCTCAGATTTTCTCTTCAGTTTTGTCATACGGCACTCGATTCGTCGGTATTGGGGCTATGAAAACTCACCACGATAGGTAGCCGTAATTTTTGTTGTATCTTGCCTATTGTAAACTCAAAGATTTGCGTTGTGGCCTTGGCGAACCTTTAGTCAGCGGCCGATACGTTTCCCGATCGGGTTCTATCACACCTGCCCATCCTACACAAGTGTTCACATTCGTTGATTCAATTATGTGACACAAAACCCATACGCACGCACACCGTGACAATGCTTACCAGTCATGCGACGCCGACACGCACTAGGACAATGCAACCAGTCATATGACCATACACGTACTTACCGCGCTGTCACCTCACCACTCTGACCCATTCGCGCATTCATGATCCCAGCCAATCAATGTGCTTGACCTTGTGACATTAGCCCGTTAGTCTGGGTGATTAGGGTCCCACACAATCGATTGTGCACCGGACTATTACGTACGACCTCTGTGGATTATATTACGTTGTCTATTTACGCGGACTCGGGAAATCTTGATGTAACTATTTACCCTTTCACTATCGATGTATGCCAATGGCCTATTTACGTGTACTAAATGTTAGTTATTTATTTCTTACAGAACCGCGTTGATATTCATATACGTATCCCGTACGATAAGGTGCTTACGTTTTGCTCAACTCAACTGGGATTGTGAATAATCAAGCGAGTAATCAGACCGAGATAAGATTTACGTTAAAGGAGATCCACGGAGCTTACACCTACCATTACACTCATCTGCAATATGGAGAACATTAAGTCGGATGAACAGAAAAGGCCCTATCGTTTCACCAGCGTGGCAGATCGACAAGGAGTAATTGAATGTGCACGCAGAGGTGATGATTTGAACGAACTTGCAAAGCACCTCGGCATCAAGATCAAAACATGTCCCTACTGTGCAACCGGGTGTCCCAGTAGTTTTTATCTTTCACAATGCGCCCGTTCATCGGAGAGTTTTGGATGCGCAATTAAATGTCAACCACCAAGTTCGATTTTTCCCACCATACAGTCCCTTTTTTAATCTACTTGAAGAGGTCTTCAGTAGATTCAAACAGGTGAGCGATTTTAATCCTTTAATTCGCTTATTATTTAGTACATTAAAAACTGGTTCACTGAAAACACTGAAGCCTTACGAGATGTACCAAATTGTTTGACGATATGGGTACATCGTCGAAACCTACTCCAATCACTATGTGGTGCGGTATTTAATAGCGTTACTACAGTCAACCGCGCAGCATACGATTGCCACACCTCATTTATCAGTCAATTTTTGCAATATCAAAATTTGTAAAATATAAATTTTTCAACATTCGTTGACCTCAGAATATTCCGATCCTTTTTTATTCTGACTCGCCTACAGCGGTGTAATTAAAGGTTGTGCGTCGAGGCTAAAGGAATGTAGTTCAAGGCTAAGGGATTGCGAGTCGAGGCTAAAGGATTGAGGGTTTTGGAGAAAGCTTGATGGGAGGTGTAGTTTTTCTCAATGCTATCATGAGAATATTCAAATAATTCAATCTCGAGATGTTTGTGAATATATCGGGTAGTAACCAGACAAGAACTTTTATATTGGAAGACAAATGATGCGAGAGGAATTCCTGTCGTATACTCTCATCGGTCGCGTACGTATAACATTGAACAAGACTGACAAATGAAACGAAATAAAAAAATCTAGTTTGTTTCAAAGGGTAAATTCGTCGTATATATGGCAAATGAATGAAGGATTCCGGATAAACATTTACCATTCCGTTCTTTTTCATAATCGGACAGGAAATCAGACTCAATCCATCACCCATCGTTGCCATACAAAGGGGAGTCAACAATGCAGCTTATCACACAGCCTATTAAAATCGCTTTACGAAGGATCTACTACTACGCTGCCGCATTAAGACTCCATCCGATCACGCGGTGCCTCCCCCTCCCCCCATTCAAAGATCGTCATCCAGTCGAATCTACCTCTCATTGCATTTACGCCTTCTATTGTAGCTGCAACGAAGCATACATTGGTAGAACCAATCGATCACTGAAAACTATTGAGTGGACGAAAACATCACGTAGACCCATCTTGGTCATCACACGTCACTTGGTTGAAACCAATCACAAGGTAGACCTTGCGAAAGCATTCTCGATTTTGTCAAGTTAGCGGGACAAACACTGACTAAGGAGGATACTCGAGGCCTGATCGATCACTCGCAACAAACCCACACTGTGCATCCAAAAACGTATGACATTTATCCTTGACCTTCCCTGGTTTTAACCAATCACGTGCCTCACACACACACAGCACACAATCACATAAACACACACACTAAATGTCTTAATTCGCTTCATTTATCTATCTTACTCAATATTATACGTGCGTGGCTGATGAGAGTATATGAAAGGAGTTCCTCCCACATTGTTTGTCTTCTGACTTGTCTGTGCAAATTCATTACGGGATTGGAAGTGAAATTCAGTGAGCAGATCGTGCTATATATATATATATACACACATATATATATATATATCAAGTGAAAGCAATGTAGAAACAGTAACAGTGTTGGGAACAACTAAAAGCACGGGTTTTATTGTTTTTCGGTATATACTATTTTGATTATTGAAGTTCAGCAGTGAAAAAGATTTAGGAACTAAAAGGTTGATAAAATTTGAATCTCCCAATCAACCGTACACTCGGAAGCATTACGGACTCCAATTTAGGTCTTCTTAGAGCTCATCACAATTACAAGTAACTGTGAGTTGTAGGATTGTGACAAGTCAGCCCGTACCCTGCATGAAAGACGATTTGGTGGAAGTCTTTCGATTGGATTTAACAGATAGTCAACTGTGTCTCCTCTTTTCGGGTCAAAATGAATTGATTGACTATCGCTGAAGACAACACTCGGAATAAAAATGGATTGGCAAATCCGTTTAGCCCTGGCATGCGCTGGTTAGCACAGTGGTACGCATAAGCCTTCAATGCGATGGATCCGGAGTTCAAATCCCGGACGACGGGGGTGGGGTGGGGATGAATGTGCGCTGCTGATGAGCTTTAATAAGAGCAAAACACGAGCCTATAGTGCTTCCCAGTGTATGATTGACTGGAGAAGCTGAGGGATGTGTGTGAAGCTGAACTCCCAAGAATGGTCAGTTCTAATCAATAAATATCAATTATCCAACAAGATTACTCAGAGGTAACTGTAAGTTAAATGCGAAAATTTGAATGCTTGCATCCAGATTTATCGTTCATCGATTGCGTCAAGCAAACATAACACGGTTGAGCCTACTTACCATCAAATCCTGATCGGTCAGCGCAATCAAAGCCGGGAACAAGGATTCCAAATGTTCCAGACGTATTTTGCAAACTCCAACAATCAAATCATTTTTGTCCAATCGATCACTGGTTTCAAGCCAACCTTGATATTTTCCACGTAAACTGGCTAGATCAATCTGAAGAAGAATCAAAAAGGGCTCACTGAACCTTACCACGTTTTAGTCCCTACGAAACATAGTACTTTTGGTTGCATCGGTCTACTGAAGCAATAATTTGAAGTCACTCCACTGCAAGTAACCGTTCCCTTGATAATTTCACCCTATAATTGTAACTATCCAGGGGACACCTAAGTGTGAAGTGGAATATGTGCCAAAACCTAGTTGGTGCATTTCTGGTTTTCATCAAGTGGGAATAATAAAACAGACGGGGGCCTCAGATGCGGTAATATCAAGAAATATGCTCCAAGCGTGTGAGACTTGTCAATAACCATTAGGTGGTAGGCAGCTTCGCTGCCATCCGGTACAATAACACGTTCAATCTAGGGCTTAGGTTACCGGTTTTGACCACCGGACAGCAGATCTTTGTGGCTAACTGATCTACCTCGTCTGCTATTCATTATACAAATGTATTCCACACAAAAGTGATATGAAAATATCTCGTTGTTTGCGACTTATTTTAATAGATTATGCCAAAGTGAAGTATTGATCAAAAACCCCTAGCGTTCTCCACTGATTGCTTCACTACCCGGAAAAATTTAAACGTCCAACAAGTAACTTGTTTTTGAAATAGATATTGGTTAATCGATGAACTTTCGTTTTCAAATTCGGCTACAGGATCTTAACGATTGAAATGAGAGGCCCACCGGTAATGCTGACGCAGCAAGCAAATTTTAGGCATCACTAGCTTGAATCCACATCGTTCAACACCACTTTGTTTGTTGACTTCGCTGTTATTCTCTGTCAGCGGTCCCAGCCCGTAGCATTGAAACAATGCAATTTGTGAACCGCCTCAGTAAAATACCCTAATCAATGTGAGAAAAAATTGTTGTTGCCTGCTTGACAGAAGGACATCGTTCTGTCGTCTAAGCATCTCTCAACAACCGAAAGCCTAAATGATGTAATCAATTGAAAGAATATCGGAGTTCACTTGTGCTTCATACAAAACCCAAAGGAGCATTCAAGTTCGCTTGTTTTGTCCTATTGTAATCAATAACTTCCGACTAGGCTTAAGGGATGGTGGTTCGAGATATTAATTTAACGACAGACAACCTTATCAAACCAGTGATTTTGTTTGTCACTTGTAGATTACGCTTCTTGTTCCAATACCACAAACTACTTAGATAAAAATAAATATAACTATATAAAGAACTGGAATTCAGGAATTTCGAATACAATGAAAATGAGCGTCTTCGGAAGAACGACCGATCTCAGTTTTGGTTGCTCCTTCCGGATATGGTACCGCAGATTCAAAATTCTGATTCTGTCCGCAAATAAAGCCACCTTCAAAACTAACGCTCAATAAAATGGAACATGAACTTTCATTTCAAAATATTGGTATATCCACGTATTGCTTTTAGCACCAATGACATTTGTGCGCACTGAAAACCCCGGATTCCCAAAGGGATTACTCATCACATACCGTAGACAGTGTTTGTTGTCTTATAAAAGTCTCTCCTTCATCTATACTCAGCATCAGACGCCAAGCTTCATACCGGACAGCTGCCCTTCGCATGTGAGTATCCAGTTGGTTGAGCTCCCGGATCGCATTATCCAATTGCCTAAGAATAGCTGGTGACGTTGAGGATTTGATTTGCTCCATCGCGAGTTCCGCTGTCACGGATATTGGCAACGCATAAACAGTCGCACAGTCTCGAACCGATTTTCGTTGATTCAATAGCTGATGGACAGAGACCTCCAAGCGAGTCATTTCTTGTATAGGCTGCATGAAATGTGTATGATACGTTTGTAAGGTTGTGATTTATTGGAAATAGTCAAAATATGCTTTGGAGCATTTCTGTTATCCGACTCCCTTTAGAAAATTTTCGTTAGAGCAAGAAAAAGCTTCATTGCCGAACAAAAAGTGAAATAAATTATATCGCTTCAACTCCACAGTTGTGTTTGTGCGAGTGTTCTGTGGTCGGAATATGTGCGACTGGTCTGCTGCGATTTCCATTGGACGAGTTGTGTACACGGTCTCAAAATAAGATAATGCGAAACGGTTGACTACAATCTGTCCTGTGACTGTGCATATTCGTATTCTTGCGAGATTTTAAACATTCGAAATTGGATCGCGTCATATTTACGGATTGCTTTGGCAGTAACCGGAACAGTTCAAGTCAAATTTAATACATTCATCAAACGGGAAACATCCATGTGCTGGGTTGATTCCCATTTTTTGGTCACATATCGATCGACCAACGAGGAAACCGTGGTTGTCTAAGAATGTGAACAGAATAGATATCACGGGAGACCAATATACTGGACTATCGACTATTGTCGACTAAAATAGTATAACTCCGAAGGCTATAGAAACAGTACTGTTACAGGAGTGCGCATAATAATAGGGATGAGGCATAATGATTTTTTTTAATTACCATTAATATGGGTTAGAATGGGTTGCACTAAAGTGCGTTTCAATCTTATTTCATTCACAACTATCTGAACCAGGATTTGTTTTGTATACGGGGCGAGTCCATATCAGCACCGGAAACAAAATCGAGATACAAAATAAAAGATGAGCTCTTTGGTTTAGACAACGAATGAGAATGACTTGTTTCATGAGCCCCGAACCAGTTGATGCAGATTGTAACAATTTGTAAAACCGTATCTGCTGTGCTACCTTCATTTGAGTTAATTAAAAAATGACTCTCAGGTATGGGATAAACGTTGGCTCAAATTGCATCCAACAGACCTGTATTTAATGTATTTCAACTCTGCACTTTTCTGCTGCGTGTCTTATTGACTACATCTGGCGAGATGTAAAAATTGTCACTCGTAATCAGCCTCGTAATGTTCCGAACCCAGTTATAACCCCCTGGGAGGCTAGTGCTGAGATGCGCACAGTGTGATGCCCGCAGGAAGCTCGCAAATTTGGGTTGTGCTATATCGTGTCAAAACAAAATGAAAGACGGTCTAGCCGTATGTACCTGATGGTTCAGTGGATAGTATGCCCGCATTCCACTAGTGATATGGCGCATACGATCATAAGTTGGATCGATGGATTTCGCACTGCTGGTACAACTAACCAGATCGAAACAGTTATGTAGTGCTATCCAACTTTTCAGTTCAAAGTCCAAATGTTCTGTATAAGTAATTGATCGGCACGTATTCAATTTGTTACGCTCCTTTCTAGGTCACAATGTAAATCCAAAAGCAAGTGAAAGTGACACTTGCTTATTCTAGAAAATGATACCTTAACTCAAATATACATGTATATATATATATATATATATGTCATCCGGATGGTAACCTCAAACATTTACCTCCCCGAGGGTCGTGTATTCAAACCCCACCAATACTGCCTGACGTTTCTAATTCTGTGTTGAATATCAACCACTTTATATACTGTATCCTCTTTTCTGAAAACTGTATCACCATAAATTCAAGTGAAATGGGAAAACAAGAAGAAACAATGAAACTTGATAAGAAATTACATGTTGATCTTGTACGAATCCCATTATAATTGAAATCCACTCACCAATTCAAGCTAAGAACAGATTTAATATATTGATTCACACAATGAGCACATTTGTATTCACGTGTTTATGACACGTTACTATGACCAAATATATTGCCTAATATGAACACATCGCATACTTGCACAATTTCATTGCATGTATCCATTCAGTTACCTCTTGCATCATTTCCAATATGTTCGCAGCTTTTTCTGAAGAATTTGCGAATTGGTCACTTGTCAGACTATTGGATAGGTCTTGAACGCGAATCAGCTGATCCTGTAAATCAAAATACACATGCACGCATGTCTTTTTGTGTTTTCTAAGATGGCTTACTTATTCGTTTGTTCAAAGATTGCAATCTGCATCGAATTAACAGGTGATAGCTTTCACAAGATAGTAAGAAAGATACGTCAGTTAAATGCGATGAAAATAATTGAAATGGCTGACAAAGAGCACTAGATAACTACCTCGTCCCGTTTGGGACTCGTTAGAAGTGTGTACGTTTTGTGTCCCTGTCAGGAGTCTAACCGCGAATATTCGGGTAGGGACTTCAAACATTTACCCTTGGGTCGGGGGGAATTAACGATTTCATAAAGAGTCAAACCCACATCCAAGACCATCAAAAGTGATTGGTAACTCTGAACAATCGAATGGGTTAATCCCAACTTGCTGCTCCAAGAAGATATATAAGCTTTGCTGATCATATGACCGAGAATGAATTACACTCATTGAACTTTAATTGTTGCTTTCTGGAATGTATATCTTTGACATTGGTTCCCAAGTTAAAAAAGTTGATTTCCAGTTATCTTCTGATAAATTCAAAGTCATCTTTGAAAATGGAGAATTCTAGTTCTCCGTTAATTCAGTCCTTCGTTGTTTTTTTCCACAAGCTACTTGTTAAAACTCTTCAATTGTCATAGTCCTGATCCAACTACAGTACCCGTGATAGACGTTGCTCACAGTCGTGATCCCGTCACCCTGGCCAGAACCATTCTCCTCGCCCGTGTGGTCGCTGTTTTCTTCGGCCATTTGAAGATCACTTCCGTTAACACGTCACACACAGTAATCTTCATATCTTATCCCTATATATAGCACGCGCACACTGATACCACTCTCTGTGGTTGAATGTTTGTGTTAGTCAGAGAAGGAATTAGTACAACAGGGGCATGTCGGAGAATTCGTCCGTTCTCTAATTCAATCCCGGTTTCAGAATAGCGAGCAGAGAATCTTAAACCAATAGAGTTGAGTTGAACATATTGGCAAAATAGCCTATGACTCTGTGATATAGTCCTTACACTACGAAAAGGACCGATGGACTGAGAGACAGATGAACCTTGTATCTGTTTCTTAACAATTAATTAGACACATTTACCACACGAGTACAAAGAGGCAAACGGATCAATAACTCAACTGACAGAAAAATAGTGAATCAATTAATCCCTTAATGTCCAAAACGATTGTCAAATTGTTAGATTTTCCAATGTTGTAACACTGACCTGTAATTGAAATTCAATCCGGAGCCAATTCTCCTCGAACGTATCTTTGAACTGATTTTCTGCATCGTGCAATGCACTTGTGAATTGTCGCCATAAGCTCGGTCTGGAAAGTGTGGAACTGGGCCACAAGCTATCTAGCATGGTCCGATTTGATAGTCGAATTGCCATTCGACATATAGCCTAGTGACGAAACGGGAGGAGTGCATGAGTAAACCAGATCAGATGTAGCGTCTCGATTTTCATAAACGATCTAACGGACATTCTCGATCCATATACAATAATGTTTGCAGACGATGCAAAAATATGGAAAACGGTGACAAAACCAGAGGACTCGCTAGAACTCCAAAGAACACTTAATGCTGCCTATCAATGGTCGATCGAAAATGACAACACTGCAAAAGCACTTTCGTTGGATGTGGCAAACTGTGCCAGAGGAACAGAGATGTACATTTTCTGACTAATACCCACTGGAAATAAATCAAACACGGTGTGAGCATCAGGTCAGTTCAGTTTTGTCGATGTATTCGTTCGAATGTGTTTCCAACTCAATTTCAAAATGTCTCCCAAAATTTCCAAAACGCCGTGTGGGTATAGAATTCGAGCTAATTTAACTTCAATAATCTGGGAAAAATTTAATTATCCAATCAGATATTTCGATTATTCAGAGAAAAAACGACTGTGTGGTTATATGAGCGAAACTCATCGGACGAACGGGGCTCGAATTTGCCACCATACTGTACATTTATGTAAGATCCTACACGACCGGAACAGGTCCTCACTGGAGATGATAAATTTTGACTGCTCTTTGGTGGCTTTTCTGGTCCACGGAAGGCAGATTTTGAGTAGTTGAGGTGTAGCTCAAAAATAATCCCAGGTTTCCTTTTTAGCTGTTTAACCTTCTTTACATTTCGTTCCCAACCCCAATCCCTGCTATCTACTGTTATGGTTATTATTGTTGTGGCTTCAGCACCGTGACAGATGGTGATATATACATTTACCGACATCACCACATTACCATCATCACCTCTTTTCATGTCCTCAAACGCTTTGAGACCCTACCATATCGACGAGCAGTCGGACTGATGAGGGGCAAACTTAGTTCTTATCGTGTTCCAAAACACATCTGCATAGTCTGATAAAAAAAAGCCCGTAGTTTGGAATAAGCCAGTATTGGAAATAAGGTGCAAATGAAGGTCATTGTTTGTGTTCTGCTAAAAACATGCAAACGAATGATTGATCATTCCCGAATTTTTCAGCTTATTGTCCGTGAAACATCGAACTCGAATGGACACTGTACTGTGCCTCATTGCACAGATATGAAATAAACCCTGGGCGATTCACAGCGAATTGTAGAATGTGTGTCGGACAAAAGCTCATCACATCAAACAACAAAGGGAAAGTAGTGATCAACGGATATATCAAAGATCGTGGTAAACCTGCCTTCGGTTTCATAATGAAACCGTTTCAAGCAACCCGTGATTCCAGTTCATTTTCCTCAGACAATTTTAATTCTAATTAGTAAGATATATATCGATAGGTATTGGCGTGAATACGGATCTTTGAAAAATAACTTGGTCGCTACTTTGCTGTTTTGTTTGAAATGTGCTCTATGGGGGACTATTTCCGCAATTAAACTACCCTCACAAGATATCTGGTTGACAATCCTGACAAAGAGTGTTTGAGATCTCGGAATTAACTTGTCGGTAGCACAACATACATGGTTCGTAATGGAAACGGGTGTGATTCGATCATTTGAACTGAACCAATCAATACACAGCTGAACATGTAAAGCATATGAGAATGTACAAGGTAACCGTCTATGGACCGATGACAGCTCCGTCCACTTACCTCATATCGAATACGAATGTTTTTCACTTCCACGGCAATGCGTTGCTCGTTCTGCTTTGCCACAATCAATGATTTGGCCATCTGTGCGTATCCTTTCAGATCATCTGCCCTGCAGTTTAAGCGCTTTAGTTGTTGTAAAAAGGAAAACAATTTGTTAAAATTGCATTCCAATATATGGAGCAAAGGTTGCACAGAGAAATCGGGGCACGATCTGCACATCCAATAAAGGTTTATTGATTCTCATCCCCAAATAGCCTAATTTCTCTACCCAGTCAACTTCAAAGTCTCGACTTTTATCAGTAAATCATTTAGAACGTGCAATGCAGAATGTGCTCGGAGAGCAAAAGGTTAATCTTTCAAAGTAGACGGTCAAAAGAAAATCGATGAAAATGCACTCAAAGTTTCTCTCCTCTTCCTGCTTTTCATTTTTGCTTCCTTTCAACGAATACATAATGATACAATTTTCAACTGTACTTCGCGTTATCTCCTCAGCTATGTGCACAAGCATTTACCCGTGAAAGTTAGATCATAAAAATAAGAAACCTATGAACACCACAAACACACTTGAATAGGAATAATCAATGTAAGAGTCCAATATTGAATAGAGGGAAGGGAGAAAGAACATGTTTATTGATCGGAAACCCAGGGGCAGCCTTAACCGAGTGAGGCCAAACAAACTAAAAATTCTGGCTGATTGTAGAGATATCGGTTGTCACCTCAAATGCCTACGTCCGCAGTAGACCTATAAAAACCACCCAGTTTTCTGGTGGTATAACGCCCGGAATTCTAGTTTGCACACAACTGTAGAGGTTACGCTTATAACAGTTCAATTCAACCTGTTCCGTGATAATACTTGTTCTCACCTGTATGAAATTTTTGAAGAGACATCGATGTATGAAAATAAATTTTGAACAGTGGATAGTTGAAAGTTAACTTGGTTTTGATACTTGGAGACATGAAGGTGAAAGTTTGAAATGGTCAAATAATCTAGTAAATCGCATTCTGTTCAATGCGATCAAATGCAATGCACACAAATAAATACCATTCAACTGTATGAAATACTATCTGCAAAAATGTAATGTAATTCACTCGACACATTGCTCGAATACGTTGCGTTTGCATTCAAAATATAATTTTTTTTTCAAATACGTGAACATTTGGATTTGGGTACTGCTTATTTAAAATAGAACAACTCACCATTGGTACAACTTCTATCTATAATATCCATCAGATTTGATTGTTTTGTCAACAATAAATGAATATAGATATGATTTTATGATGATAACTCACGTGGGCACAGTTGATTAGTTCAGGCAAGTATATCACTTTTCTTTTCTTCTAAGGAACAATGTGAACATGCACCAAAATCTGGGTCTTTGAGCTATGATAAATGAGGAGATATTAACAAACTCATGAGTAGACATAACATGATTCTGAAAACAACCAAGTGACTGAGCACACAAGCATGTCACCCATGCGGCTGAAAGCTTGCCTGAAAACTGTTAAAAATGACTAATCCACAATTCGATGAACATAAACTTCAGGCTTTATGATCTTTTTACTAATTCTCAGACCTTCGGTTCTTTATTTTACTTTGGTTCACATTCCGAGTTGTTTTTAGCATGCTAAACTTACTTACCGTGATCATGTGTGTGAGCTCGGCTACAGTAGTTTCCTCTTGTTTGATAAACACGGCTACAAACTGTGAAACGCACTGAGACAAGGCATCTGTAAGTTTAGCGAAGAGAAAATCCTTCAGTGGGCTGCACTCAATTCCAAAGATACGTGGTGTATCAGTCCATGTTGAACTCAATGGGAAGCATTGAATGGTTTCACCTTGATGAAGTCGATCTAAAAAGTCAGCTGACTTCATGATTGCGACCTGAAAATAACGCAAACATTATACGATTTAATTAAAAACGTTAAATTCAGAGAAGAAAGATTTTAAATAAGAGAAGAAAGTTTGTTTTTATGAGGTTTATGTTGTCAACTTCAACTCATAGTTTTTACATTTAATTCGAACTCGATTGTGTGTAACGGTTTGGGATCGATGATATATACTGGTTCGGACCCAATATTATTCATACCTCATCTTTAGGCGTCACCAACATTTAGGTTTGTTTCCACTGCGTCAACCATTTGCCTTTTATGCCCAATACAGAAGTTAGTCCAAGGTCGCGGAAGTAAATCTGGTATATGTTAATCCGTAAATATGTAGATGGTGTATTGACTCGACTGAAAAAATTAATCACGCCTCATGTTTTGCTCCGGTTCGGTTCGATTAACTGTGCATCCATGTGACCCATTACACAGATGGCCTTTGACCACGCCCCGATTTGGTCCGAAGATATACTTTGTACGTTGTTGTTATTGTTCTCATAACGCCTCTAAGTGTTCCTCGTCCCACTCATTTGTGCGTCATTTACCTTATTGCCCTTGAACTCTCGCTGTTCCAAGCTTGCCATTCTCGTGCGTCATTACATACGAACTAGCCTGGATCCGTTCCCCCATCCAAGTTTGGTTCTAGTTCATTGTCATGTCGTCATCTTTATGTTGACCTTCATATTTGATCATTCGCTTCACTTGCTTAGAGGACTGCTTTGTTTCATAGGATCCCGTGAACCGTTTGTCTTGCACTGACCAATGACTGTGCTTCATTATCGAGCACTTGCAATTGGTGTTTCTATCCCTTAAATTGTCCCTTTTCTGAGCCTAGTTTGCCTGCTCCGCAGGCGCTTTGTTCTACGCCTTGACTCGCTTTGTATCTTGTTCTTGTACCGTGGAGACCGGATTGGCCCACAATTTAAGGTACGGTTTTTATTTTTGTACATTTTTATCTGCTTATATTACGCGTAGATTACCGACTTCTCCTTATCTGGAATCGGACTTGGGGTTCGTACCTACGAGTTCTTCAACCACTGGACGACAGACAGTCCGGTACAGATAGTGTTAATCAATTTTAATGTTTTCTTTATATTCCATTGTCCTTATTCAGCATTTGTAAACTGTGCTTTTGATTACGACAAAATTCACCAGTGTATTTGTTCCGTAAAAGTTTCCAACGGAGGGTAGTGCTGATATGATCTAAGTCCGTTACCCTCAACAAGCTCGCCAAGATGGGTCGTGCTAATATATCGTGTAAACGAAAAATAAAAAGCGATCTGATCAGCTTCCCGGTGGCCGAGTTGGGTGGCATTCTTACGTCCTGCTTGTGAGTTCCCAAGCTCGGTCGATAGATTCACACTGCTGATGAGATCCAACCAGGTCAAAACAGCTGTTCAGTGCTCCCTAGCTTTCCAGTTCACGCTTCATATGCTATTTACACGACGAATTTCTTATATGACAAGCGATATACTTCGAAAAAAAAACTTAATTCAATAAATGAAAAATGACCATTGGACACATCGAAAACAAAGTCCGGTAGGTGAAACAAGCAGTTTTTCAATAAATTCATATTGAACTAAACCATCGCTCATTGAAACGTCACAGCCTAAATCATCTAGATACCCATCACAGGAGAATCACGCAATTCGAAAAGAATATTGTCCAAAGGGAGTGCACGATGGAGTTACTTTCCGAAGAACAAAAGTTTATGTTCCAATTGATGATTAATCAAGTAGTCTCAAAGTGTACCCAAAAGAAGCCGCTTAAACTATTACGCGGTGTTTCTAAATCCAAACCTGTCGGTCATTTTCCGGATCAGCCCGAAAAGTGTGTGCATGATTTCTCAGACATGAACCTAGACCAAGTCACGCTTGAAATCCTATCACTGGGACCACAAGTTTACTGCCCAAGACGGAGAACAGACGAATTGGAAGTGGACGTGCAGGTCGAGAACCTGTATAACCAAAGGACGGATCTAGCACCAGTCTCCAGTGAGGACCTGGATATTTTGAAAAGCACGCCGGTCTACTGTGCACAACGATATCACAAACAGAAAAATCGAAGTATCTTGACATCGGAACACTTACAGAAACTGAAGGAGTTGAAAGCGATTCCGGAACTACTTATTACTAGACCAGACAAAGGAACCGGGATTGTTCTAATGAAAAGAGAGGATTACCCAGAGAAAGGGAGTAAATTTCGACAGGATACGGGGAATAAAGACAGAACAGAACTGATCCAACAGCAAATGACAAAGTGCTTGAAATCCCTGAAAGAAAGTTACCACATATCAATGGCAACTTTCGATCTGCTAAAACCACATGACTCGATAATACCACGATTATATGGCCTCCCAAGAGTACACAAACCGGATTTACCAGTAAGGCCAATCTTGGACTTATCGAACTCCCCATATCATGCAACGGCCAAATGATTAGTGCGATTACTAAAACCCGTCAGACAACGAATTCGCGCCTACAGTTTGAAGGACACATTTGAATTCGTCGAACAGGTCAAAAACCTTAACAATTCATCACAAACAATGTACTCACTGGATGTGACCTCCCTATTCACGAACGTCCCACTTCTAGGGACTATCGAGTTCCTATGCGAATACAAAGCAAAAAAACATTTCGAAACCAGAATACCCCTTCCCAATCTGAAAGGGCTGCTGCTTCGGTGCACATTTGGCGTCCAGTTCCTGTTCAATGGTCGCATCTAACAACGAACTGACGGAGTCGTAATGGGATCTCCGCTGGGACCATTGTTGGCGGACATATTCATGGGTAAACTCGAGGGTACAATTTTATAAGACAAGATACACGAATGCAGCGTGTACCGCCGACATGTGGATGATATATTTTTCACAACAAACCAAGTATCCAGCATTGAATTGGTGCTAGAGACTTTCAACGCAAGCCACAACTCAATCAAATTCACTATCGAGAAAGAGTACAACGACCGAATCCCTTTCCCGGATGTTCTACTTATCCGAAACCAAGATGGAACTATCCAGAGAGGAGTATATAGGAAACCCACATGGACGGAAAAATATATGAACTTCAACAGCTTTGTGCCTTTGAAACAAAAGAGAAATTTGATGAGATGCCAAGCTATGAGAGCTTGGAAAATTTGCTCTCCCAATGAGGTAACCGAGGAACTTGAACACATCAAAAACCTTCTTCAACGGAACGGTTATCCGGATAATTTCATAGATAAACATCTAACGGAAATACCCGGTTGTACAAACAGTCAACAAGAAACCACTCTACCTGAAACTACCATTCAAAGGTGATAACACGGCTGAGTGGCTTACACGAGGGATCAGTGAAGCGTTGCGTCAAACGTTTACAACAGCCGAACTACGCGCAAATTTCACTACGTCCTCAGCAATACGTTTCCATCTCAAAGATAAACTGCCTCCCGAAGCCGCATCTATGTGGCTTTACGTGTTCACTTGCTCCTGTGGAGCGAGCTACATCGGTCGGACTACGAGGCAGCTATCGAAGAGAATACGAGAACACCAACCCTGCCGGCTGAGACGGTGAAACTAGGACGGCGAAAAGTGCCATCTGACAATATACACTGGAGACACGGCACACTATCAATGATGATCAAGCTTTCCACATGATTTACCACACACCATCATTGCCAAAACGCCAAAACGGTTTATCATTCTATGCGCAGCCGAGGCGATAGCTATCCAAACATTGGATCCCCCCTGTGCAACCAAAAGCAGTTCGTTCGGGCTCTAGCCTTGCCCTGGCCTCGAATGAAGAAATCCACTCTACCCCCGGGGGACGCGCGAACGAACTAATCGAGATGAACATCAGGTAAACAATCCTAGCATACACTCTGTACTTAGTTAGTCTGATGCTATCAAAACCAGATCGACGAACCCAAATAACCGTATATAATTTTTAATAGTCCGTTGATTAATTTATCGAAAAACATCTTGTTTCGCCTACCGGACTTTGTTTTCAATTGATTCAATAAGTTAGTGAGGGTATGAGCTGAATCCGCGCATGCAACAGTTCATGACCACCTTCCCACTTGTTTCTGGCTATCGAATTATCGATCCAAATTGTCCCGACGTCCATGACTATACGATCGATCGGGTTCAACCATTTAGTTAGTTTATTTTTAACTAAAGATCACTCGATCAACGCCCAAGTTCAGCCCGTTCCCAGTCTTCACTCCTCCTCTTTCCCCGGAGGACAGACCCAACCGGCTAAACGTTCACCTCTTTTCGGTCACTCACTCAACAAGTACTTTTATTTGTGCGGATAAATTAGTTCATTCTCACCGAAAGAGGGTTCTGACAGACTGCGGTTAAACGAATAAAGTGTCACTGTCAAACATTAATCACTTTGTAGAGTTCCCAGCAGAATGCAATTGACTGGATTTGAAGGTACAACGGAGGCATTTGGGTTTGAAAATAGAATCGATCCGTTCCGAAGTTGTTAGTCCTTCGCAAAAAATTAATGGATTTTACTTGCGACGAGCCAATAATCATAAGCATAAATAAAAAGGAAATTTCAATATATTGGACTAATATCCCTTATTATAGCAAAAGAATGATGATAGTATTATAGTTATTCACGTGCTATCAGGGGAACTTCGCCAAAGAAATCCACAATGACAGAGCACTAAATTTAGAAAACCTGAACGCATACATTTTGTCATTATTAGTTTATCTACTCATGAGTAGCATAAAGGAATATTAGCAAATAAGTTCTTTTTCGGTGCTGCATCAGCTGGCCTAATACACTATAACTTCGAATGAATTTACCGGTTGGTGAGAGTAGGCAGATAAATTGTAATGATTTCAGGGTTTAGAAAGAGATGATTTAAGTGTGACAATTGGTGTGCTTATTATTTGTTTTTGCAAATATGTATGCTACTTACTACAACTTATTATATAGATATATATTCTTAAATCATGGTCAAAGTGGAAAAAAGAGCATCCTCGAAATCCATCCAAGAAAGCACCTTTCGCAATCGATGTGTAAACGGCATACGTGTGTGCGGTACTGACAATTTTCTCCGTATCCTATTGAAGAACCTGCCTGACCAGCAGAGTTAACAAACTTTGCTCTTTTGAGTCTTATTTCCTTCGCAGATATGCGTATCATCTCACCTCCTGTCAATCTGTTATAAATTGTGCTGTATTTGGCTAGTTGATGCAACACCGAAAACCAGCTGGTTTGTTAGCATTATATTTTCATGACCATGCAATCAGGAATATTTCGCCTACTCATGAATACTTGACGCATAAAACAAAAATAAGAACATCGATCGCTAGGTGATTTTCGTCTGCAGGAACAGGACAACTTGGACGTACTTTGACAGGCTTTTTACC